TGGTGGTCTAGACCTGTAAAGTTTAGCGGGAAAGACTGCTAATGGGTACAGTGTTTCTTTTGGTGATGATGAAAATGTTCTAAAATGGATTGTATTGTGGTAATGATTACACAAGTCTTCAGCACACTAAATCACTTTATTGCAAGCTAAATAAGTGAATTGTATTGTGAACTATAGCTCAATAAAGCTCTTATAAAAAGAAGAACAAATGTATGAGAACCCAAATTTTAATTTTTATCGTGATCCCCAAGTTTTAGTCCTAGTGTCAAACAGTATGATTGGCAAAAGTATTCAGAATACAGCCACAAAGTTGGACATCTGCATGACTACTGAAAGGCTTGTAGCCTTCAGAGACAGTAGGGTAATACTTAAGGATAGAACTCACAATAGTTCAATGGGCCTTAGGATAGAACATCAATGTACTGTTGCAGCTTCTCCAACTATGAGATATCCAAATCATAATAGCTGTGAAGTAGGGTTCAAGTAGAAAGTAATACCAAGCCATTATTAACCAAGATTCATACTATCTCTACTATGTGTGGTCAATCATCTATTGTCGTAAGAGGAAAAATTCTAGAAATCATAAGAACTTCAAGTATTATTTCCCATCACTGAAACACAAACTATGTAGAAAAAGAACAATTTCCACAAACTCTCACCTTTTCAGTAATTGGGTTTCATTAGAAAAATTCTGTCATTTCACCTGAAGGCATTCACAGTTAGTCATTCAACAAGAAATACGCACTGCACATTTACTATATGCCAGGTACTCTATGAGTTACAAAGAGAGTTAAAAATATTCTTACCTTAGAGTTACAGTTACTCTAAGAGATGAAATATGTACCCAAAATCTCCCAGAATAGAAAAAGTATCATACAACTAAAACAAACTAACTGCTCTAGAAACAATCTGGGAAGCCAGGAAAGAATTCGCTTTCCAGATCAGGTATGAAAAGGAAAAACTGATAAAAGAGGTAGATTCTAGGCTGAACAATAAAGGATAAATAAAAATTCTAATATTAGAAGTCGGTCAGGGTGGTTTTTCTAAGAAAAAGGAATCATATACATAAAGATACAAGAACATTCCAGAAGCAATATTACAAATGTGAATAGTGCATGTTTTGGAAGGGGAGAATTGAGAGACTAAAGTCAAAATGTAGAAAGTTTTGAATGTCATACTAAAAAAATCCAAAGTTTCTCATATGATTAATGAAATACTTAAGGACAAAGGATAAAAGAAGCAAACAGTACTTTAGAAATATTACTATAGTGGTGGTAAACAAGACAGACTGGAGTAAGACAATCAAGAGGCAAGAGAGACCAGTTACAAGATGACTACAATTGTCCAGGAAAACAGGACACTGGATTCAGAATTAACAGAAATAGAATTTTTTATATAGTAGGGTAGTTTATAATTCTTTGTAATTCTATATATTTCATATAAATTAACCACCCAACTGAGCCATGTCACTTCAATGACAAAAAGTTATAAATGCCTGTACAAAAAAAAATTACATTCCAAAATCTGCAAACCAAACGGGTTAACTGAGGCATAATCATATACCAAATCAAAGGGTAGGGCTCATCTTCCAAAGGATTACAATCTAGTTACTACTGGCCCTAGAAAGTCCACATCATTTCTATACTAACATTTAATAATACTCTAGGGAAGTGACAATCATGTTTGGAGGACAAATATTTTTTGCATTTTGTTCTTTCCATCATCTTTATCAGTGCAGATATTTGCATGAAAACAGGATCACTGGTCCTTGGGGATTCATCAGTTCCTATTGCTTATTTTTCATCCATGTCATCCTTTCAATTAATGCAGAAAAGAGGACTGAGATATCGAAACACCAGATTAGGGTGTCAAGTAAATGTCAACCTCTAGAGTAGATGAATAATCTGTAAGGACAAAAAAAAAAAGATCTTGCTTTCATGCATACACACTATACACAATAAAACAAAAGAAAAACTGCATCCAAAAAGTCTAATACATTTCAATATAATTCTTTCCACTCTAAAATTTAAAAATTAATTTTTCTATGTCAACAGTTAAATTTGCATTGGTCAGGGAAAATGACAATCAAATAAAAAACATGGCCTCAGAAGTTGCAAGGCTGAATTCTGAAATAGAAAATAATTTTCAAAATCTTATTATGCTCATAAGACTCAACCAGCAGAAACAAATATTTCTATCAAATAATTATGGTTCAATCTCAAAACGGTTGAGTTTGGTGACTTCCAACCCCCACCTGAAAAGCCTTATATTTTTAAGAAATACAAAACTTAAAAATGATAATGGTTTTAACTGTGTGAACTAAAAATTAAAACACACTACGGCAAGTTTCAGATTCAGTGGAAAGTCATTAAAATAGACTTTACTGTTGCTTAGCAAACTGACTCATTCTAAAAACTGATAAAGAGAAAGAATAGTTTAGCTAATTAAGAATAGTTTTAAGGTAAAAGTCCATTATAGAAAAATTCAATCTAATAAGAATGAATGACAGAATCAAAATATTACTATTTTGCAACCTCTGATGAAATAGTAGATAAAGGTAGAGCACTAAAGGTAGTTACCAAAGGGAACTAACAAGTCAGGGTAACAATACCTTTTATCGACTAATTAATCTTAATATCACAATTAGATAAGAGCAGACACAATGGACTTTGATGGATGTACACAGCATTTACAAAATTTTCTTGCCAAAATAAAAATAAAGCCTACATCTGTGCTTCTAAATCTAACTACCAGGAAATAAAAAGGATTAGATGACCACACTAAGCACTACCATTAAGAATGTAAACAAAAAATTCAAGGCTGAACAAATTCTAGAGAACAACTAGCTAGGTTTCATAAATGACAAGGGATGAGTACAAGGAAGGTAGAACTACGACAGATTAAAACACCTAAGAGACATATCACTCTGTGGTATGAACTTTATTTAGATATGATTCAAGCAAATCAACTGTGTAACAACTATGAATCAACTATGAAAATCTGAATCCGGACTAGCTATCGGATGCTATCAAGCAGCTCTGCTAAACTTTTAGGCATAATAACGGAACTGAGGTATTATTTTTTTAAGAGAGAGAAAAAGAAAGAATCCCTTCTGCTGGGAGACAATATGAAGATATGGGCAATGAAGTAATAAGATACCTGAGATTTGCTTTGAAATTTTAGGAGGTCAGGGTAAGTAAAAGAGATGTTATATTATTGAAGCTGCAGCCTGATAACATAAGCTCATTATTCTGTTTTCTCTACTTTTGTATTATGTCTAAAATTTTCCAAAATAAAAAATGGAGCGAAAAATGTGAATTATCTTTTTCAGTAGGAAAGCAAAAAAAGAAAAACTAATCTGAGAGAAAATAGTAATTGTGACTATAATTGGCAAAAATACTACTGAGAAATACATCTGGTAATATCACATCTCTTGATATGAAAGGCATAAAATTAATTTCATTTAAAAAAGTGACACCCCTGCACCTCTGGCTTATACCCTGTTTTGTATGAGTAAAAAAATAAATCGTACAAAAAATGTTTTCTGGGCCCTCCCTGGTGGCGCAGTAGGTTAAAGCACAGCACTGTGAAGCTATCTGTAGTCACTGCAGCATGAGTTCAATCCCCCGCCAGGGAGTTGACCAACACAGAGCAGCAGAGCTCTCCTGTCTCACCCGCTGCTCCCCTCAGCAGTGTGTATTTCATCAGTCTGTTCTGCTCCCCACTCTGTCTCTGGTGAATCTTTTCAACGCACCTGCAACTCTGGCCTACACCCCAGTTACGTATGTATAAATAAATAAATCTTAAAGAAAAATGTTTTCATGGTAAAACAAAGTCAACTCTAATAACAATTATGGAAATAAAGGTAGAGGGCCAAGGAACTAATTAGTCAAAACTTGTAAGTTTTAAGGCAAAAATGTTAAATTTGGCAATAAGTTAAATCAATGATATGAACAAATCCACTACATGCTCCTAAGCAATAATAAAGAAAAATTATGAAACTGTTTTTGGGATTGTGCTAATCAGTATAAAACTTGTATTTTTGCAGAAATTACAAGCTATCGTAGTCTCTCAAACTGTATTTATAAGATACTCATTGAAAACAAAGTCCTAATCACTGTATTTATGTTGAGTATCTCCTTCAGTTACAAAGTGAGAATTTTTCCTACAATTTCTTCTCCAATTTTATAATGAATACAAAATGGGAAAAGATACAATTTATAAAGAAATAATTTTAAACTAAAAAATGGACAGCAGACAGGAGCAAATGAGAACTTTTGAAACATTATTCATGGCCACAGATTATATTCCTGGACTTCCACACATCCTTTCTTTTAGGAAACTAATCGTCCCCTCCCATTCCATGTGACTAATCCTTCTAACCTGCATCTGCGCGGTGAACCAAGCCTAGACCATCAGAGTGTATGATGCAACCTGGCAAAAGGTCTGGATCTAGGATAGACATGTGAACCAAAACAGAATTATCAGAGTCCTCCCAAGACCTTTCTTTTTAAACTTTCAGAAAACATGTTCTTTCTTTTTGGGATTATGATATTTGAAGACATACACTGGAGCTCCTTTTGGCCACCTTCCCAGTGCTGGTTCAAATAAGACTTATACATGAGTGAGGCAGTGCCTTGAGATGCAAAACAAAACCAAGAACAAGAGTATAGTATGATATAGTATGATTGACACTGTGAAATCATGGCTTTAAATATGCTCAAAACTATTTTGATTAATATGAACAGAAAGTTCCTCTTTTGCTTAAGCTAGTTTGATTTGACATCCTGTTACTTAAAACTGAAAGTGTTCCCAGTATACTTGTAGTACATAGAGAAAAATTACTTGTTACCCAGTAGACTCAGTGATTTATTCAGCACATTCTCACAAAAGGCAGTGATTTCTTACCTCCAGAACACTTCATAAAGATATCTTCTGAATTATAGCTAGAATGGAATAGACAACATGTAACCCTGAATAAATATGGTCTAGGTACTTACATTCATCCAGCCCCAGCTGATAGGCTAGGTTCTGTAGGCCTCGTACCTTCTCCATCAAATTAGCTGTTGTGAGGCTCCCCAATTCTGAAATAGAAGCATTTATTTAAATACCATTTTTTTCTTCTGTGTTATAGTAAGAATTACTTTGGGTTCTGAAACCGTTTCAAAAGTTTTCAAGCTTAGGACCTCTCTGGTGGCACACCTGGTTAAAGCACAGCACTCTGAGGCTGTCCACAGCCAGAGGTCTAAGTTCGATCTCCTGCCACAGAGGTGACCCACATGGTGGCAGAGCTGTCACGACCCGTCCACTGTTCCCCTCAGCAGTTTATTTCAGTCATTCTGCCTGTTCTGTTCCCCACTCTGTCTCTGGTGAATGCTCTCACCCCCCACATCTCTAGTCTGCATCCCGGTTCTTAGAAATAAATAAATTAATTTTTTAAAAGTTTTCAAGCTCAATTTCTATTGAATACATGGGAAATGTATCCACATTGCTTCTTCTCATCAAATTATCCCTTTCCATTGCCTCCCTTTCCCTCTGCTCCTCTCCCCTCTTTCACACACACACCAGTGAATTTCCCATTAATATAAAATGTGTCAAATGAGCTTATCTACTTCAAAAGAGTTAGCATAAATACAATAGTAAATTATATGTTTAGCCTAAAGATCTTTTCTTTGCCTACCATAGAAAATGAACATCCATTAAAATATGAAACCTTGTATGATGTCACATAGCACTGTGAAGGCATCACAGAGCTCTGTCTTACAAAATATACTGTCTCCCCTATCATTTATAAGTCCTCATTATTACAATTAAGAATTAAATAGCAACTAAAAATTCTTATTATTTCTTTTTTCCCTAAGTTTAGAAAGCAAAAAAATAAATCACAGTACTTTCTTAAAATAAAAACTTACTTTCCCAGATTTTCATTTAAATAGCAATAATATCTTAGGTTTAAAACATTGCTCAATTGAAACATGAAACATAATGCTATGATCCCTTATTAAAAATCTAAAGTTTCCACAGAAAATACATACTGATAGGGTATTAGATAAATGTCTGCTTGAAACATTAGAATGATGAACCCGAGATGCCCTTGAAACTTAATTTTTCCATGGTTGGAGGAGGGGATCTGCATTTAAGCAGAACAATAAATTACTTCTGAAATCAAATAAAGATGTTATTTTCTCCTACTTACCATGCCATGCTCATCTATATCTGGCATAAGTAGATTTTCTTTATCTGTGTTGCTGCCTAAGCTCAGGAATTCCAGATTTTTACCTTAATTCCAGTTTATTACTTCATAACCATCATGAATTTTATCACCAGATGGATGATAAAAAATTAAAGTAGAGCAACAACAAGGAAAATTAATGTTTTTAATTTGAATTCCCACTTTGTGGTTGCGTTTCAAATCATCTATCAAACAACAATATTCACTACTTATAATATTTTTTTATAAAAGAAGGTGATGGAACAGAAAGAAATAAGACATGGCTAACCCACTATGGGGTTGTCAATTAATAGTACTGATAACAATGTATGGCACTAAAACCTAACTAGAGTATGTGTGTTACAGCGCAAAGACTAGATTTAGGGCCCTCCCTGGTGCAATGGGTTAAAGCGCAGCACTGTGAAGCTGTCTGCAGCCACTGCAGCACCAGTTCCATCCCCAGCCAGGGAGGTGAACCACATGGCATGGCAGACCTCTCTCTGCTGACATGCTAGCTGCTCCCCTCAGGAGTTATTTCAGTAGATCAGCCTGTTCTGCTCCGCATTCTGTCTCTGGTGAATAGTCCCAACGCCCACACCTCTGGCCTGTGTCCCAGTTCTTGAATGCATAAATAAATAAATCTTAAAAAAAAAAAAGACTATTTAAAAGATCAAAATTGAAATTTTAACTGTTTCTAATAAATCTTAAGTTAACCTCTGAACCTTAGATTATCATCAAACCTAATTCACAGGACCTTCCCAAGATTTAATGAGAAAATTTATTTGAGAGCTATTTGTCCACTGTAAGCAGTTTATAAAATAAAACTAAAAGAGTTTAGCAACAGATGACATTATGACTGAATCTCATACTGGCAGGATTTCTATAAATGGACAAGAGGAACTGCTTCGTGGAAGTGCATAAATGGCAGGTTGAAAGTCAGCAGTCACTAGCTTTGCTTACCCTTCAACATGTCAATGTCATCACGTTCTATTTCAGCCATCCATTTGGGTGGAGAGCTAGTAATAGGCTGTAGAAAATAAGAATATATCTATTCAGATACACACAAAGCATGGAGTTCCTATTCTTCCTTCTTACAAAAAAATAGCTTATCAGTCTTCAGGTTCCTTGAAAACACTGGCAAATTATAGTTTCACAGATCCCGACCCTCCAGGAGCTTCAAATAATGACTTGTAAATAGTCATCATATAAAATTATTCATCTTTAAAGTTACACAGAATCAGGCTCTCCCTGGTGTGCAACAGGTTAAAATGCACTACTGTGAGGCTGTCTTAAGTTCCATCCCCAGCCAGAAGGGTAGCCAGCATGGTGCAGCAGACCTCTCCTGACCCACCTGCTGCTCCCCCAGCAGTGTATTTCGGTGGGTCTGCTTGTTCTGCTCCCCATTCTGTCTTTAGTGAATCATCATCCCACCCCACCATCTCTGGCCTGTGCCCCAGTTCTTATATGCATAAATATATAAACCCTAAAAAAAGTTACTCAGAGAAATAATTTAGAAGGGTTAGGTCTGCCTACTTTTACAATTTTGTGCATAACATAGAAACAGAAGAAATACAGTCTTTTTTTTCAAGTTACTGAAATTCAGATCTGGTAAAAACTTCTAACAGAATTATTTGGAACCATAATCAGTAAGTAACATTCTTTGGCAGAGGAGAAGATTTAAAGAAGAATCAAGAATGAGAAAATCCTTAATGTAAATGAGAGAAAGCTGGTGACTGTCACTTGAAATGTCATTGTACACTGGACAGATTTAAAGAGTACATTTTTTTTCTAGTTTTATTAATTTTATTTGTATATGTCAAAATACACTTTTATTTCCAAAATAGTTGGCTTTGCAACTAGTTTCATGCAGAAACAAGGTCTGCTCAATACTACCAATAAAATCAATAGAGCACAATAGCTGTTCAGTAAAAACTACAATTTTAAGTAATCTAATAATCAAAGTTCAAAATACCAAAACAGAGCATTAGGGTAGAAGAAGACATCATCAATTAACATGATGACAATATAAACAGACTTCTTGACCTGCAGTTAGTTATCTGGAGATTATATGAGATTTTATGCAAGAGCAAAAACAGTGGATAAACTTCATTAGGTAAGTAAAATAGTACTTACACTTTTGAAGGAAGCTGCAAATTCAGCAACACCTGGTACTAGACAGAAAAACATCATTCTCTTAATAAACATGTTAGTGATCCATACACAGAGGATTTAAATAATAATAAGAAAACAAACCTGTCTTCAGGAATTTATAGTCTAGAAGAGACAATAAATCAGTAACTATAATATTGTTTAACTACTCTAAAAAGATACCAGGTGCAATGGAGGACAAAAAATGAAAATCTACATCAGACGGAGGGAACAGCAAAATAACTTCTCAGAGATAATGATACCTACTTCAGAGAAATGCTTCAACTGAACTATGAAGGATCAAGAATTGGTTATAAGGGAGGGGAGATAGAATTGTATCTTACCAAAAAAATTCAATTTCCTTTTTAGGTACATGGTTCTGTTTATTTAATTGGCTCAAATGAAGAATCACATTAAAATACAGAGTAACAGGGCCCTCCCCTAGTGGCGCAACAGGCTAAAATGCAGCACTATGAAACTGTCCACAGCCACTACAGCATGAGTTCGAGCCCTGTCTGGGGAGGTGACGTACATGGCGTCACCATGGCGTCTGACCCACATGCTGCTCCCCTCAACAATGTATTTCAGTAGACCTGCCTGTTCTGCTCCTGGCACTGTCTCTGGTGGGTCCTCCTGCCCACCATACCTCTGGCCTATACCCCAGTTCTTGTATGCATAAATAAATCAATCTTTAAAAAATTACTAAAAGAAAACCAGAAAAACAAAAATCAGATATTTAAAAAAATGCTCAACCTTACAAATAAAGAAATACAGACTAAAAATAATAAAACTAGTACCATCCAATATTAGCTAGTATAAGTCATTCTCTTCAATAAGCACAAAGCTACATATACAAGGACATTCACTGTTGTATTATTTATTATGATATCAAAAATTGCATATAACTTAGGTCCAAGTAGGATGTGAATATATAAACTACAGTGCATCTATATAATAAAATACTTAAAAGAATGAAGTAAATCTATACCTACTAATATGGAAAGGTGCATTAATAAATTTTTAGGTAGAATTTAAGCTAAGCTGTAGACCATACACTGATTGTTCCATCATTAGACAAAAAAAAAAAAAGCTTCAACATACTTTATATATTTGCTTATCTATATAAGCATAAAAAAGGTAAAAAAGATTTTATGAAGCTATTAACAACAATTAACTCTGTAAGACATATTGAAAAAGGTGAAGATATACTTAATCATTTCTGTATTAGCTGAACTTATTACAGAGCTTCTAAAAAATAATATTTTTAAAGGATCCTTATAACTTCTTGAGTCAAACCATGTTCTGAAAAAAATTAAAGTATCGAACATCTACTATTAACACTGCACCAGAGAATTCAGTCTCTTTCCTTTAAAGTAAAATAAAAAATTTATTCCTTAGAGCTAAATGACAACTCTTCAAAAAAATCTCCCTCTAGGTAGCACTGGTTATCCTGCATCAGTTCTGATATAAAAAAGCCAAAAACTTACATTGCTCTGGCCAAAGGTCTGGTGAAGCACGGTCCAGTTTTTCAAAGCTTAGCAAAGATGCTTCCAGATCTGTCCCTAGAACAAAATGCCCAGATAAGTGAAGACACAAAACACACTGATTTATATTTTATAAGATTTCATTCTCAAAGAATAAAAACTAGAACACATCCGGAAATCTAGAGATTTGAGTTCTTTACTGATATTACTGTACCATGTTAGCAGGTGACCTACATTTAGTAAAATAGATCACAGATGACCTGAACAACATTAGTTTTCATGTATGTGAGGATATTAAAGCATACAAATAGTTTCCCTAGTCAAACCTCATTTTTCAGAATTCTAAAACAGAAGCAATATTTTAATGAGGTATTAGCAAAAATGAGTATCAACAAATCCACCTGCAGAATCTTCACTCAGACTTAGAATTTCTTCCTGTCACAGAAATGTCTCTGCAGCCAAGAAAGACAAACTCCTCTATTAGGGCTCTTCTCTTGCTTTGCCAAAAACATCATCTTACTCTCTGTCTTGCACATCTAGTTTCTACCACTCCTACTGGTTCATACTCAATACCAAGTAGGCCTGCTCTAGAATTTCCCTTCTTTGAAAGATCTCTCCCTTGACCCCAAGACCTTCTACTCCTCCTTCACTGCTATCTCCACTTCCTCATTTCGCATTCTTTCTTATCCTCACATATATGAAAACTAATATTGTCAAGTCATCTATAACCTATTTTGCTAAACATAGGTTACTTGCTAAATAGTGATCACTTCTCTGTTATTTCTTAAACTATGTCTTTGCAGCATTCACACACTGGTGCTCCTTTGAAATACTGCATTTCCAGCTTCTGTAAAACACTATGCTGGATGGCCCTCCCTGGTGGCACAATGGGTTAAAGGGCAGCACTATAAAGCTAGTCACAGCTGCCACTTCAGCACAAGTTTGATCCCCAGCCAGGGAGGTGACCCACATGGCATGGCAGACATCTCCTGACCCGCCTACTGCTCCCCTCAGAAGTGTACTTCATAAATCAGCCTGTTCTGCTCCCCAGTCTATCTCTGGTGAATCCTCTTACCACCCCTGTATCTCTGGCCTGTATCCCAGTTCTACATGCATAAGTAAATCTTAAAACAAAAACAAAAACAAAAACGCTATGCTGGTTTTCCTCCTACCTCACTGATCACTTTAGTTTCCTCTTCCACTCAGGGTCCAGCCTGGGTTGGCTTCACTCCCCACCTAGAGTCTCCTAAGGGGATCTCAACCAGATCTATTAACCTTCACCAGCATTTATATACCAATGACACCATATTTTTATTTCCAGGCCCAACCTTTCCCCAAACTTCAGAGCTATATATTCAAGTGACTACTTGACAGTCCTCCATTTACATGTGCAAAAATCTCCTTAAATCTATTATGTTCATAACTATATTCCACCTCAATAAATAGCATCACCAAGAACCCCAATTTTCAAATAGAAACCTAAGTGTTATCTTTCATGCCTCTCTTTCTTTCACCTTTCTACAACCAATCCAATAGTGACTCCAACAGTTTCTCTCCAAAATACACCCTGAAACCAATAATAAACCCTTAACAGGTCTCCCTGCTCTCACTCAATCCCTCCCTACCTGCAAATCTATTCTGAACAGAGTTGCCAGAACTATTTAACATCAATCAGTTCATATGACTCCACAGCTTAAAGAATTTCTTCTCAAGGTCACCAATGTATATCTATATTTCATAATGTTTACCTGTTAAATACTTAAATGAATCAGTTAAACTTGAAACTTAAGATGAAGCAATATATCAGTTTTACATCTACATAATCATTCTTTCAATAAATGTACCTTGGAGGTCTAATGCTTGTCTGTCACTGTTCTAAGCCCTGGGGCCCAAGAGGAACAAAAATAGACTTAGCATTTATAATCTAGGGTGAAAGGGGCTAAGTTATCAGAATAACAATGTTGACAGTGAAGGTACTGAAATAGAACATAACGATGAAGAAGGATAACTCCAGATACTGTGTTGCGGTTGTGTCTACATCTTTTCCTGTTTGATTAATCTTTGATCTCCCAGTGCACCCAGTATTACGCCTTTTATATAGCAGGTACAAAATACAGCTCTCCGGCTTTAATTCCTTATTTCTGAAATGAACTTTCAGCTTTCCAAATACAAACTTAGTATTTCTTTCTTTGGGGAGGCAAAACTACATTATCAAAGAGATAAACGTGTGAATGAGGGCGAGAGAAGCCAAAATTAAACGAGCTCAGAAATGAGTGCAAGATCCTACCTCTCTAAAGCAAAGCCAAGAACTAAAGCCTGCGCTTACATCTTAGACAACATATAAACAAAAATCGTGCATCACTCAGTCCGAGGGAAGAACACTTAAAACAAGAGAATTTGAAGTGTGTGCAAAACTACACTAAGAACATCAATTTTCATTTTCTTCAGGCCTTTCATTGCTATGAGCCAAGAATGTCTTCTGCTTCTCCTGCTGCCAGCAATGGTACAAATTTGAGGAGACAGGAGCGAATCATGTTTCTTTAGCAGTACAGTTCTGGGTGATGTTAAACCACCAGTCCTGGCTGGAGTTTAGGAGAACTCTCCAGATGCTCAAAAAAAAGAGAAATGATCCTTCAACCCGGCACCCGAAGGAGAAAGTTACAGCAAAGAATCTCCTTTCCCCCCAACAACATCTCTTCCCCTGCCCTAAACCTCACTCAACGGGGCTAAAGAACGGCCAGGGTCCACTCCAGGACCCTCGTCCTGTTGCCCTGAATGGATCCCTCATTCAGGGCTCCTCCTGGTACACAGCGGGGCTACCGGGCACCTCCAGCGCCGCTGCGAAGAACTGTGGCGCTGAAGACGCATCCACGGAAAAGAGGTAGAAGGCAAAGGGACCTAAGAAAAAGCCAGAGAGGCTAATGGGGCGAGGAAGTTCAGAGGGGAGCAAAGGAGGAGGCTGTAGGCGAAGGCTCTCTAAGCCGGCTCTTACCGTCCGTGGGAGACGCCATCTTCCAACCCATGTCACGTGACGCGGTCAACCGTCGGCGGGAAAGCAATGCTCATAAGCCACGCCCCTAAGAGAAATCCCATCCCTAACTCGCAGTCCCTTCTCCCCTCCCCTCCCCATAGGGCAAACTTTACTTTGTCCCGCCCCCAGCGCTGGCCACACCCCCCACAACGTGAATGAGGTGGAGCGACTGCAAAAGTTTTGGAGACTCGTATTTACTTTCTTAGAGATGGGGTGGGGCCGCAGTCGCGCTTGTGGCCAATCGAGGTTCCTCGTTAGGGGGCGTCTTCCCCGTGTACTCAAAATAGAGTATCCAAGTCATGGGCGTCTTCTCTACCTCCGCCAACAGAATTTGGGCAAGTGGGAGGTGGCAAGAGTCCTTCCGTTTCTGACCAATCGTCTGTCCCCAGAGCTGGGGCTGTGGGGTGGAGTCTGGAGGCAGAGCGAGTGATTGGTTAGGTGAAACGTTCCTCTCCACAAATAAGGAGGTGCGGCAGGACCGAGGGGCGAGACCTGACGGCCGTGGGGTCTGATCGGCCTGGCGAGTCACGGGTAGTCGAGTCACAGGGAGGCGGAGAAGAGGCGGCCAGGGACCATGGCGGCGGTGGTGGCGGCGGCGGCTGTGCGGGCCCGGATCCTGCAGGCGAGTGAGGGTGGCGCCGAGGGATTGCGAAGATAGGAATCGGGTCCTCGCGGCCGCTCGCGGAGCCATCCCCTTCCTGGCCGGCCCTCGTGTCCCCACCCGACCTGTGCGACCCTGTCCCAGCCCTCACTCTGCATCCACCCCTGTGAGCTCCAGCCTGGACTGTCATCCCTGGCCCTCCACCCTTTTACTATTGAATATCCCCCTTTGATGGCTCTGGTTCATTCTCCTCCAGCTTTGCCGGGTCCCTGCTGTCAGTCTCTTGCCCTCCAGTCTCAGCCAACTGACCTCTGCGCCAGCCACTTCTCTCTCCTTCAAAACTGCCCGTTCTGATCACCTTTTTTAGTGTGCCAGCGGCCCCCCCCGCCACCCCGTCTCCCCCACGACCCTCCCCCCACCTCCCTTCCGTGTCTTTCATCCGTGGTAAAGGAAGGAGGAGGCGCACGAGGGGCGAGGGTCAGTGAATGAACTTTGAATCTTCTTCTAGAAATGCACACTAGCCCCCCCCCCGCACCCCCCCACCACCGCCAAGCAGCCATTTGCTGAGCTTCTTCCCCAACTGTGACTCTACTTTGCATTTTCCACATGCTATGGGGAAAATTTCTTGCCAAGACTTTCAGTTACACTTTCTCTCAGCGAGTTATAGTATTCGTGTTGGCGATAATAAGATAAGTTATGCTACCAGCATGTTCCAAGCTCATGCAAGGAACTAAACAACTCTAAATCAGACGAAAGGAAATGGGAGCCAAAGAAGACAAGTGTTAAATCCAAGTTCTGCCCCAAAGTCAGCTCTTACTTAGTATGCCAGCACGCCCACAACTCTGTCCATGAGGGGAACTTGGGTCCTCTCTGAAGTCAGCCTAAAGGTGCTTGAGGGCTGTTATCTCTGACTGTTGTTAACCTTTCCCCTATTCACTTCCAAGCAAGGGCTTGGAGTAGGAGGTGGGATTTAAATGCAGGCAACATTCTCCTACCTGCAATAAACAACACTTTTCTTATTCATTACATATAGCCTGTCTTTCTCTACTTTGCTGAACTTTTAAATAATATCAATATTAACCAGGTTTCAGTGGTTCCGCTCTAGAAGTTAGGTATTTTTTACATTCTTAGCACCCAGCAAACATTCAAGTTTAAATATGCTCTTCAGTGGGATGGTGGGAAATCGGTTGGAAGGGCTGTCAAATGGTCTGACCTCATTCTCGTCTAGTTCTTGTTCTGATTTAACTGCTTTCCTAGTATCATTATTTCATAGTAGAGAACGTTTCTACTATGTATTTTTTCATTATCAACTTCTCAGAAATCTTTCACTGAAGTTTTTTTTTTTCTTTGCCTCCTTCCGATCATAGTGAGTTACTGAGATTCTTAAGGTCATATTTTGTTCTTTGCATCAAGAAGAATCTCCCTTCTTAGGTATTTTGGAGGCAGACATTTTCTGATTCGTATGAAAACATTTCTGAGCAGTTCTGAAAAAGAGCAGTTAGTAATCCTTAGCCAACTAGAAATTGTTACATGAAACTTTTTTTTAAAGATTTATTTACCCATACAGAACTGGGGTACAGGCTAGAAGTGCAGGGGGTGAGAGGAGTCCCCTGAGACAGAGTGGGGAGCAGAACAGGTTGATCTAGGAAGTACACTGCTGAGGGGAGCAGCAGGTGGGTCAGGAGAGGTCTGTCACACCATGTGGATCACCTCAGGCGGGGGATTTAACTCACACTAAAGCAGCTGCAGCTATCTTGCAGTGCTGTGACCTAACCAGTTGTGCCACCAGAGAGGGCCCACAAGAAACTTTGATAATCTGGCAGTTGTACATTTTTAAGGACAATCAAAAGACTCTGTAAAGAGAGTTCATATTTTCAGTTATTTTAAATACCCAACTTCTCTTCTGTGTTATACTGGCTAGCAAAATTTATCTATTTCTTGTGTTATTATCACTCCCATTCAGAGGCAAGAAAATCAGTATTAAAAACTTGGCAACTTTTTTGGTGAAAGAATAGAGGCTATATAATCCTAGCTCAACCATTTTCTACTTTTAAGAATATTTGTGAAAAATGATGTTGGCAAGGATGTGGAGAAAAAGGAACTCTCCTGCACTGCTGGTGGGAATGCAAACTAGTACAACCACTATGGAAAACTGTTTGAAGTTTCCTCAAACTGCTAAACATGGAGCTTCCCTACAACCCAGCAATCTCACTCCTAGGTATCTACCCAAAAGACACAAAAGCACTGATTGAAAAAGATAACCTGTACCCCCATGTTTATTGCTGCTTTATTTACAATTGGAAAAACATGGAAGCAGCCCAAATGCCCAAAAGTAGATGACTGGATTAAAAAGATGTGGTACATATATACAATGGAATATTACTCAGCAACCAAAAAAAGAGAAACACATGTCTTTTGCAGCAACTTGGATGGAGCTGGAAAAGATCATGCTTAGCGAGATAAGCCAGAAAGAGAAAGAAAAATACCGGATGGTTTCGCTCATAGCAGGAGTATAATGGACCAGGTGAGAAAATAATAAGAATAATGAACAACCATATACCAGAGACAACCATATACCAGAGTGGGGAATGGGATCAAAAACGGGATGGGGGGAAGGGGGGGGGGGGGGAAATGCATGGGACTATGGTGATGGCACATGGGTGACTTGGTGATGGGAAACCCGCAGGGACTACAATTGAGATGGAAAAAAAAATGTAAAATAAACTTATAAAATTAAAAAAATTAATACATTAAAAAAAGAACATTTGTGAAAATAAGAACTAATGAATGTGATGAAGTAGATTACCTGATGCTGAAGGTCACTCAAGGTCCCCCAACTAGTAATTGATGGGACTGAGAGAGTATTCAGGCCTTAAGTCCTGACATTTCTGTCTGTGTCAGGCACTGTCCCACGCTTCTGGATGAAGTACTCACTGAGAACTCCCCCATTGCAATGCAGTGATAAGTATTAAACAGTAGGAATACACAGGATATTTACTGCTAGAACATAGGGGAGAACCCCACACTCAGTGTGTGAATTCCAAAGCTTCCAGGGCTCTGGGCTTAAGTCTTGCAAGGTTAGTGGGCCTTTAGCCAAGAGCAGAGCAGAAGGAAGTTCCTGGTTAAAAAAAATTTTTTTTTTACCTCATTGAACACATTTTTTTTCTTTTCTTTTTTAAATATATTTTTTACATCATTCTCTATATTATACATTTTTTGGTCTTGGTTGTAATCTCCGTGGACTTCCCACCAACAGTTCATCCATATGCCATCACCATAGTCCTACATGATCTTTGGTAAAGAAAATTTTAAGTACAAAATAAACATCCAGAGAACAAGAAGTTTGATGTGAATGATCATTGGGTTGTTTCTTCAGCAACAGTGCTAGTCAGTGTTTCTTGAGAAATGAAAAAAAGATGGGTGATCTAACCTGACAAAAATTCTGTGATAATATTTTCTTATACTAGATACAGTGCCTTTCTACCCCCTAGACAGCAGGGAGGCTGTGTGCCAGCAAAATAACAAAACTGTATAATGTGTGATTTTCAAGTTGACTTACCCATGCATTTTCTGCCCTATAAGAGCGTGTACATGAAACAAAATTAATACCAAGTGAGTGCTTGGTGAGTCCTCGGACTTTCATTCTGCACAATGCCCCTGAGTGCTTACTCTATTCCAGGAGTGAAAGTTAGTGCTAAGGACACAATGTTCTAGTGATTTGAGAAGAGAGAGACCTAATAATTAAGCAAGCTATTGTTTCATAATGTGATATGAGATGTAGAGAAATCCAAGTATTATATGACCTCCACAGTCATGTATGTGGTCCAGAAAGTTGACACTTTCAGAGAAAGTGATAGCTAACTAGAGAGCTATGGAGTAAGAGTGAGCCAAGTAAATGAAACAATTCCTGGCAAGAGGGAGCATTGTGCAAGGGCAAAGAAAGCACAAGTATGTGGGGAATGGCAGCTGGAGCACAGAGAGCATAGGAAGGTGTGTGACTAGAGAAGATACTATCCAGTCTTCTAAGCAACAACAATCTGTATCCTTGAGCATGGGAAATAAGTAAGAAAGTGATCCAACCAGATTTGGGTTTTAGAAGGGCCCTCTGGCTATGGGACAGAAACTAGATTCAGAAGTTTTAAAATTAGAAGCAGAGAGACCTGTTAGGAAGCCATTATGAGGTAAAGGCAGGCAGGTTGGAGGAAAAGGGGTGTGTTCTAAAGACTTCAAGGAAAACAGATTACCTGGATTTGTTTGATTCACTGTGGAACGTGAGGGAGGAGTCTAGGTTTCTGCTTCAACAACTATGTGAATAGTGGCCCCATTCAGAGAAAGGTGGATAGCAAAAAACAGAGCAAAGTGGTTGGGAGGAATATGAGGATGTCAAGTTTTGTCAACCTGTACCTTATACCTTAATAACATCAAAGTAGAGATGTGGCAAAGATAGCCATGTATTACATGCAGAATAAGATTCTGGCTCAGAACTACAGTTTTAGGCCCCATCAGGATCTAACAATGAAGCCTTGAAAATCAAAGAAGTCAC